CATCCGTGCACTTCAACCTGTCCTGAGCCAGTCCAGTTTCTATCAGGAACTGCTGCATGTTACCGCACTGGTCACAGTGTAGCTGAATTACTTCACATTCTGGACATTCAATTACAGTACCCTTTCAGGCAAATGTCGTCTCAACCGCCTTCACTAGATTCTTTTTATCGTAATCATCAGTGATTCTTGGGACAGTGGTGAGGGTCTTCCTGCATTTTTTTTTCTGTCTTTTTGAGATACAGTCTCCCTGTAGCCCCAACTAACCTGGAACGCGCTATGTAGACCAGGCTGGCCTCCATCTCACAGAGCTCTCCCTCTGGAGTGCTGGGACTAAAGGCATGCACCACCATGCCAGTCTGTTGAATTCTTATATGAATAGAATCCTCAGTGCCAACAGGAAGTTGTCACCCTTGTTTCCAAAGGGATAAAAGGGTGAAGTTCTGGATAGCAGACACATGATAGGATTCCTCAGTAGAAACTGTCAAATGTGGTGACTAGAGAAGTTGGGAGGGGGTTGGGGGATGGGGGGCTGGAAGGAAGAGTGTCAGGAAGCTAAGGGTCTCAAGAGGAAGGCAACTGAGTTCAATGACTGAAAGTGGGTCATATTTTTTTCCCTCTTGAGTACTGGGAATTGTACACAAGGCAGATTGCATGTTAAGCAAGTGTTCTAGCACTGAGACATGCCCTGAGCCGCTCACTGGGGGATTCTAGGCAGATGCTGTACCACCAAGCCATGACCCCAGTTCCTCAGTAGGGGATTCTAGGCAGGGGCTCTACCACTGAGCCACACCCCCAGCCCCTCCCTGGTATATACTAGGCAAGTGCTCTACCATTGAGCCATGCCCCCAACTCCTCACTGGGGAATTCTTAGTAAATGCTCTACTGCCAAGCTATACCCCCTGCCCTCCCCCCGCCCTGTGTGTGTGTGCGCATGCGCTCACACACAATTGTGTAAACGTGTATATAGAGACCAGAGATAGATATCAGGTGTCTTTCTCAATTGCCCTCCACCATGTTTTCTGAGACAGAGTTTCTCCCTGAGTCTGGAGCTCAGAGATCAGCTGGCCTGGCGGGCCAGTGAGCTCCAGGATCCATCTGTCTCTGTCTCTCTAGCACTGGGATTACAGAGCATGCTTCCCTGTGCCTGGCTTTCACATAGGTGCTGGGGACTCCCAACTCACATCCTCATGCTTGTGTGAAAGGTACCTCACTGATGAAGCCATCTCCCTAGACCCTCTTTTTACTTTTTTCCACTTCATCTTAGCAACAAAAGATGGAGGAACGACCTTTTTGGTTTTTATTATTGGACAAGGTCTAAGTTGCCTAGGCTATCCTCGAACATACTGTGTAGCTCCAGTCAGCCTTGACCTTTTGATCCCTCTGCCTCAGGCAAGTACTTGTGATGACAGACATGCATCACCAGGCCCAGCTCCTTTATTACATTTTTATTACTCCCCATACCTTTCAGAGTGCTGTAATTATCTCCATCTCCAATGAAGATGGTGAAGGGGCTGGCAGGATGGCTTATCAGGAAAAGGCACCTGCTGCTGAGCCTGATGACCTGAGTTTGATCCCCAGGACCCACATGGTAGAAGGAGAGAATTGATTCTGGAAAGTTGTCCTCTGAGCTCCTCCACACATGTCCTGTGGCACACGCATGCACCCCATCCCCAAACACACATGCACACAAAAATAAATTAAAAATAAGTTGTGCTTGAGAGATGGCTCAAGGGTTAAGAGCACTTGGCTACCGTTGCTGAAGACCCAGGTTTGGTTCCCAGCACCTACATAGTGACTCTGTCGCCCCCTTCTGGCCTGTATAGGCACTTCACATATACCAGATACGCATACATACAGGTGAAACACATACATATGAAATAAAAATAAATATTTTCTAAAAGCAACAGCTGATGAATCCAGTGACCTGGGGTCTCATAGATGGAGGTGTGGGCTGGAGTTCTGAGCCCCGCTCACACCTGTGTGTGCCCTAAATTCCAGTTGATGTGGGTTCTATTTGGCTCCTCCACCCTGTGTTCTCTGTGACTGAGTATGGGTTTCACAGCAGGTTCCCCAAACCTATACATTTAACACAGGAACAGACCCCATTCTGTGCTAAAATCAGATGCATTTACTAAAGTATGCATGGGAGGATGGTATTTATCTACACTGCATTGGTTAGATTTGCTGTCATTACTCAATTGTAAGTTAAGAAAAATTAATGTTTGAATCCCAACTCTCCTACTCCAGCTGCTATGGGTTTATTAACTAATAAATTCTTACAAGAACACTCTGAAGCCCTGTGGTGTATGTGTATGATCCCAGCCAACACTGGGGAAGCAGAGGCAGGAGGATGGTGAATTCAAAGTCAGCCTGGCCAACATGAGAGACTCTCAAAACAGAAAGACAAAATAAAAAACAAACAAAAATATCTACTGGGCATAGCGGTGAAGCCTTTAACCCCAGCACACCAGAAGTAGAGTCAGCTGGTTCTCTGTGAGTTCAAGACCAGTCTGGTCTACTTAGCGAGTTCCAGGCCAGCTGGGACTACAGGGAGACCCTGTCTCAAAAAAGACCAAAAAAAAAAAAAAAACACAAAAAAAGAT